TGTACAAATAGGGCACTCAAAGGAATTTTTCCTACGCATCCCTCAATAAACTAATACTGATACTGAAGTTGCTTTTATTGCTAGCTCGAGACGCCACTGTATATTTCGTTTGACCCTGTATGTAAACCGCTAATTAGTGCAATTAATTAATAATCAATGTTAACACCTACGCGTGAATTGGCCTAAAACCTATAGAAGACCTGCGGCCCAACTACACATAAATCCCTTTCGACTTCTCTGAGATTTGTTCGTGCCCGCACACGTGTTGACTGAAACTGCGAGTCTCTTGCAGACGTATAGAAACGCTTCTGAATATGCTCCGCGTCAAACAACGTTAGGTGTACTACCGTTGCTGACAAGATATTGACGGCGGGGATCATCCAGGTATTTGTGCTGCACCAGCTTTTCATAACTTGGCCGAAATCTATGGGTTCAATGACAAAATACGCCTACCTCTGTGACAAATCAGGCCTGCTGAAAATTCGTGACACTCTGAAGAGTTTGCTGAAAACGTTTCCTTAATTTCGATCGTGTTGGCACAGAAGGCGGAGCACCAGGTAATATCTGACAAAAAACTGGACTTAAGAAATATTGCTGAGTGTCCAAGGTAGCAAAAATTATTCGTTGCCACCTGTGGGAGGAGACGTACATTGCTAGTATTGACCAAAATAACTCCTCCGAGAAATCAAATTGACTTGGTAAAAAAACCGATGGGAAGGAGCGCTTTAAAAATTGCGCACGGAATTTCAAAAATTTCGAAGGGGTAATTCGAGATTGCGGTGTGCCCAAATTGAGATTATAAAAGGTATATAAAGAAGCTTGTTATGACTTGCTCCTCGTACTTCTAATTTACACGAAAGCCGCACCAAAGAGACCGTAAGAGAAACAGAGGGAAGACCAGTTGGCCAGAGAGAGAGTTTACACAGAAAAGCACGTTAGAGAAAGTCAGCGCAGGTCTTTGAGAGCAAAAGGTTCAACAAATTTAGAGCAACGAACGACTGCGAGCTAGGTCCATCGAGCCAATCAGCTTTTGGCTACCGGCGTGATAGGCTGGGACTCGGCGGCTGCCATTCAGCTTAAATTTTGAATTATCGACTGACGTGACTGCAAGATGCGTTTGATACCTGTAGGCCGATCGATAGCCTGCTGTGCGCGCCACTTCTTGCGCAGGCTATTTATTTGTTATGCGTCTCCAAACAGAGTCATCGTGGGAAGGAGCGAATTCCCAGCAAAGCTTACAGCGAGACGACCTGCTCGATCTTCATATAACAGACTGATGAAAAGAGAAGTGGACGGAGCAGTTGTTTAGACCGAAAATTTGTTCTTCATTAGTGCTTTATCAAAAGCTTTGACAAACTCGATGACTTGGATTCGTTCCTTTCGTACATCATTCTGCAGAAACGAACACATGTGTTAACTGCCGCTCATTATTCTTTTGCAGCAGAAAAATGGAAGGCGAACGATCTCACGGACTTGGTCATCGCATTGTCATTCAAAAATTGGGCTGTTATTAGAAGGAGAACACGCGCTAACCGGGTAAAGAAATAACTCAACTTGCAAGGAAACTTCGGAAGTGAGAGACGAAGAAGGGGTTCAGCGACGGGAAAAATAATAGTATTCCAAATATATGTCGCGCGTACGTCTTTTGTCTTCTTGAACTAAGTCCGTGCACATATACACGTTTTAGGAAATCAGTAATCTTTAGGACTGACTCAGACCCGGAAGAAGACTCAGATTAATTAATTAAAAAATGTTTTGTTTGAATGAATCAAATTGCCATTTGTTATTGGTAGCAAATATGAGGGCGTACGAATATTTGTCATATAAATATAAAAAACGCTTATCTTCGTAGTGGTCAGCGGTACCGGCGAAGGTTCTCTGTTGTTTTTGTGCCTGCTTATTTAGCTTTTGTCTTAAATAGCATGGTGGACTTTTTTTACGACGTTGTCTACTATCTGGCTTGTGTTGCGCGGCTTACATAATATTTTTCTTTTCGACATTTTCCACACATGAATTTGCAAGACACTCCTAATGCTTGTAAGGGATCGCTGAGTACCAAGAGTTCAGAAAATACAACAGGCGTCCCTGTGTCACCATCACGTGTATTTTTTCGGGAAAAGGATGTTTTCAAAAAAGTTTCGTCGGAGCGCTCCTTCATTGACCTGGTTCGTCAGCGGTTGCATAACGTATCGGCTTTTGGCGACACAAATTCCTCTCAGGTTAAGCTCTCAAAATTCGCTGGTGGAAAGAGAACATTGCAGAAAAGTGGACCGGATTTTACACAATTTGTTGATGCATCCGATGACTCCACTTCTCTAGATCCAAAGAAGGGCCTCAGTTGTTCGGACAGTATGATTCAACTAAGTGGACGTGTGCACTTTATGTATGAACAAATTCGGCGCAATCATATGGAGTCGAATTCATCGAAAAGTTCCTGTTCATCATCATCGTCATCATCAAGCTCCGAAAGTTCGCTTTATTCATCCTGCAAGGATCTCTCCTGTTCATCGACGTCTTCCTCGACTTCATCTTCCAGTTCTTTGGCGCCACCAGAGCCACCTGACGGTGGCTGGGGTTGGGTCATCGTAGTAGCTGCATTCTTTGTCCACCTTATAACTGATGGAGTACCCGTTGCCTTTGGAATTTTCATAGAGGACTTGTTTGAGGATTTTAACGTTACACTAAGCATGACATCCTGGGTGGGATCATTCGCTTTTGGAATCCCCTGTTTGGCAGCACCCGTAGCATCCATTCTTATAAGCAAATTCGGTTGTCGCAATGTGTGCATAATTGGAGGCTTTGTCAGTGCCATTGGCTGCACCATGTCTTTCTTCTCCAGCACATTGTTTCAGCTGGTTTGGACTTTTGGTGTTCTTTCGGGCATGGGCTGCAGTCTTTCATCAACGGCAGCTCTTATTATTGTGTCGCTCTATTTTGAAGATCAGCGGGCTACGGCTACTGGCCTCTCCATCGCAGGCTCTGGTGTAGGGGCCTTCATATTTGCCCCACTGGTCGAGAGACTCATTTCGCTATACACCTGGCGAGGTGCTATGTTAATTTTGTCTGGTGTATTTGCAAATCTCATTGTATGCGGTGCACTCATGCGCCCCATAGAGACTCGGAAAGAAAGAAAAAAACGCCAACTCCTTATCTGTATGGAGAACTTTGCCAAAGAATCGGGCTTCAAACTGCCTCAGGTTTACCTGAACAGCGAAGATGAGCGCACGGATGTGCGAATTCATTTGCTCAGAAAATTGTTAACGAACCCAGTTTTTCCGGAAACTTCTATTTCGTCTTCAAGTTCTTCGTTAGTTAAGTCTGGCTATGAGCAACCAAGGCAGCCTCAGGCAGAAAAACCGTGCCAACCAAATCCCCTAGAATCCGAAAATCCTGCTGCCTGTTCAACTGCTTTGTGTTCGAATGGTGTCTTTTCCTCTGCTAACCAAAAACAGGTAACACACAGGTCGAACATACAAAAGTCGACCCTGGAAACCTTGCCTGAGGAAGAAACATGTATGGGTTCCTCTCCCATAAAGTTGAAGGAACCTCGCCACCAACCTTCCCAAATACTAGGAACGGATTTCGATGGCCAAGCTGCGAGTAGGTTTTTACTCTCAAAGCTATCTCCTTTCCTTGAGGATTTGAACAAGTCTAAGCGGTGCACTTGGCCGCCTTTCACATATAAATCCTTTAACCAAAAACTACCGAGAAAAAGTCTTCGGGTATTCAGTTATGAACCAATAGGCAAGTACATGTTTGCCGTGGGAAGTTGCGAGCAGCTCGTGTGCATGAAATCTGCGAAACCTCGGACACATATTCCTCCTGATGCTGAAGCGGGAATTTTGCTTTCATCCACCAAAGAGCTCTGTTGTATAGACTCACCATCAGCGGCTGTAAGACAACCACACACAAACAATCCGCATTTGTTGTGCAGTCCACACCAGTTCCACCAGCCTACTAGTTGTCGCGATCCTTCAACAGCAAACAGAACTGACATCAGGTCCAAGTTGAAGGGCATTCAAACTGCTAAGTCTTCAGCAATGGCCGTCGATGACTCCCAAATAGCGCCACAACACAAATATAGCTTGGCAGCCTTTCGTGATTCAATTACGTACCTACACCCACTACACTCTCGCACGAAACGATCCGTGTTTCATCAGTCTGTGGTTTGTCGCTCGTCAGCTGTCGATCGTTTGCGAGCCGCTCTAAGCATGCCTGACCTTGTTTCGGCCCAGAAGGGGGATTCAACTTCTGAAAGGAGTGACTCGTACATGCTCGGGCACAATGTCTGTAATTGCCTCCGTCGCACCAGGACTGCTTTTTGGCGCCACTTCACCCACGCTGTTGATATCAGCCTCCTGAAGAATCTACAATTTAGCAGCTTCTTGCTCTCCACTCTGTTGCTTTTCTTCTGGTGCAACGTGGCTTACTTCTTTCTGGCCATATATGCTGTACAAAAAGGCGTTTCATACACAATGGCTGCTATTCTCTACTCCATAATGGGAGCCTCGGATATGGTCGGGGAAATTGCCTTCGGCTGGACTGCTGACCAGGACTGGTGCAATATCGTGTTTCTCTACTTTTGCGGTGTTCTCGTTTGTGGCGTGTCGACAATGTTAGTTCCATTGGCGACCAATTTCCCAGTCCTTGTTTGTTACAGTGGTAAGTTTCCGTAAACATTTGTTGCATCTTATTAACAACTCTGGACCAGAAGGGCAGTTGGCAAGCATACGTAGGCTTTCGATAAATTCTTTTCGGGTCTAATAAGTGACTCGTTCTTTTTTAACATCCTAAAACATTAGTTCAGTAGCGTCTACTTCCGCATCTACTTGTTTTACATCAACTAATTACAGTACAAACAACGTTTTTGTGGTCCATTTGAGGGTAATGAAGGACTCACCTGGCACAGACAGACCAATCACCCGGATCCTTATAGTTTCTTTTTGCTAATCGCGCGAACGGATATCTGGATTTATTCAGTGAGCTGGCAGACAAAGATACAATAGTCCGGCCAAGCATCTGATAATTTGCGAACTATTTTTGTTAATGGTAGCAGTTTGTTTTTACGAAATCAGAGCATTTCTTTGTTCGTAATGCAAAATATGTTGACCTGGAATATGACCGGACGCAAAAAATAGTGTGCCAAGGAATTTGGCTTATAAGTCAAGCACTAGTTTTAGTCAAGATTACCGACTACATGTTCAAAACTGGACTACACCAAACACTAGCAGAAACGGTAGCAGAAACCCGTTTCTGCTACCGTTTTCTGCTAATGTCTCTGATTATAAATCCGCGACGGATGTCGAAACGTCAGGCGAATAAAAGTATTGTCCCAGCGA